GGTTCCAAAACAAAAGTCTAGGTGTGAAAGCACCCTTACGGAAGCTCCTGAGATAATTAAGTTATATCTCTGAACTTTAATAATAAATGTAAATAAAATGCTGCGCTTCCCACCTCCTCTATTCAATCGCAATGACTTCTGGTACTTCTCGAGCAGGTTTTGCGCTCAAGTCTGCATCGATGTGTCCTCGATATCAAGAACACATCTGGGAACTTTCCTGCATCCTCTGTTCTTGTGGTCTTGAGTTTTGGAACTGAACTTTGGCAGTTGATGATGATGTTACATGAGGACACAAGATTATTAATGAGTGCTTATTGAGAAACGGCCACTACTCGGTTTTTAGTGCACTATATAGTATGGAAGTATGTGATTTTGGACACAGTCCCAGAGTTCGACAACCTCTGTGTATACTAATATACTAAATAAACTATGGTTGCGGGTTAATTATAATCCCAATTTGACATTGCAGGTCTTGCAATGTGACTATTGCGAATTTGCACATTGTGATATCGATGCTGAAACAATACATATTGTGCTGCCCTATAGTATACAGTAACAAGAAAGTAAACAAACGTAACATAACACTGTATTCTCTCCACTGTGTAAGTTAAATACAGTTTAATCCTTGTTAAAATGGGAATGATCTTCAAGATGTAATTGTCTGAGAAAGCTTTAGTAATCAAGGCAGAGCACTCTAGCAGCACTCCTAAAAATATGACTAAAGGATCTGTCTGACCAAGGTAGTAGTCACTGTATGATGTGTCAACCACTGTGATTTTATTAATTGTTCTGTAAAACTCTACAGGATTAACCCTAGCACAATAGTTTCCTAAGAACAAGGGCTGTTATTTAGCCACTGCAATATTTTTGGGGAATGGACATTGTCATAATGCTAGTGAGCCAGGGATAGTAATTGCCAACCTTTCCTGTTTCTCGCATCATGCACTGACAGACGGGATCCAGTCTGGTCTATTTTGGTCAAGAATGCATTGCTTCCAGATGTCACGACTAGACATATGATTATTTACAATAATTCAATACATCATGATAAATAACATTCACAATATTGATATTGTGGACACTAAAACACTGTAAATAATTACTTATTAAAAACTTTTGAAGTGATTTTTAAGACTATTTAGTTTGTTGTATTCGCAGTGGTTGTTCATAAGAGCACCAAATGATGGAAGACTTAATAAATTGTTTCTTTTTTATTAGCTAACAAAATAATAAAATTCAGTGGTATTTTTTAAACTAACTTTAACATAGTTAAAAAAAAAAAAACCTGTTAATTTTAACACATTAAGCATGGTTTACTAATGAGTGGGTCTAGAAGTAGAGCACAATATGTGGACATATTTTAATATTTCTATGCAGAATTTTGTCAGAATAAAAAAATAAAAACAGTCTGCGTATTTATGCAGAATGACTTTGGGAGTATAGTAGCTATATTTGTTTGGTAAACAAAGCAATCTTTCAAATATTATATCTACTAAAGAAGAGAAAATATTATTTTACAGACTGTATTGTAAATGATTCTTACAAGCAGTTGCATATTAGTCAACAATATTACTAAAATTCATATAAGAATCAAATAAGTAAATGAATATGATGGGCAAAAGAAAATCTGTAGAAAACTTTGTCAAGTGCCTATTGTACTTTATAATTCTTTTGCGATTAAATTTGTTTGAAACATTTGTTTACTCTTTAACATTTAAATACACTCAAAAAATATCCACTTAAATTTGTAAAAACAGTTAAGTTCAATTAAATGGTTTGTGTTGGGACAGCATGAAGGAATTGTGGGGAACCTAAGGCTGTCATGATAATGGAATTCGATACCAATCGATGCAAAAATTTTTAAAAACATCCATTTCCCTTTGAAGCCTATTTCACCGCAAACGTGAGCAGTTTTCGACAGAGATCTATTGATCCAATTGATGAAGTTTTTTCCTCGCCGCTGTCGCCACTAGCTTGCGTGGTTGTGTAGAGCTGCGCATCCATGGATTGCTCTTCAGTGTTTGGACTCTCAGTAGTGATTATTTAACCACACTGAACTGAGCTAAACTGAACTGAACTTAAACACTGAAAACTTAACTACACTGTTTCAATTTACTAATATCTTCTGTGTGAAGCTGCTTTGACACAATCTACATTGTAAAAGCACTATACAAATAAAGGTGAATTGAATTGAATCTGTGCAGCAGCTACTGTGCAGACGCAGTTGGTGTGAAAGTCAAACGCCTGCATGCTGCTTCTGCTCTCCATATGCGCTGCTCACGCACTGCTTGCAGTGTGAAACAGGCGTAACATTTGAGCGGTGTTGAGCGCATTCTTAAACACCGCTGATTTGCCATTGTGTTCACGTGCTCAACAGAAATGACTGATTGGCCGTCAAGGTTATCAGTTCACCGAACTCACCGCTGTTTACTGAGTTTAACCACAGATACAGGGACAATGGAGCATTTCAAAGTCACGTCTATCAGCTGGTTTGTCTATAAGCTGATATACGAGCAATCCACTGATGAATTGCGGCTTTTAAATGCTGCAGTGTCCCTGTTTCTCAATAGCCAGTCCATCACGGATGTACTGCTGGATCTCATCACTTCATTGTAGTTAAAACATGATATTTGATGCATCTTGTGCATATCTAATGGACAGCCTTTGGTCTTTTTAATCTTTTATTTGTTCTCAGGTGTATTGTTTTGGCAGTGTTATTTTGTTACATTTTATAATTGTTTTTAAATATGTTACTGTGTTGTACACTGTTTGTCTTTGATTACCAAATTGCTTTACATTATCTTTATTTCTTATTACTCACGTCTTGTACTTTATACTTGAATAATGTCCATTGTAGTTCATTAAATCTGATAGTCACAGACACTAGTCTGTGTATAATAACCCATTTCACTTCACATTTATGGTTACCTGGTTTATATTTTCTTAAACCAAAAAGATTCATTCATTACATTAATATAATATTAATTACAGGGCCGTGCTTTATATAATTGAATCATTTTATTGTTAATGTACAGTGAAACCGATGAATCCATGGTGAGGTAAGTAACATTATAAAGTACACTGCCATTCCATTTGAAGAAGTACCCGACTTGTGTCCTCGCGTCCTCGGTAGTTCGCTCTTTCAAACGTGAACTTGGCAAGTCTGAGCTTCAAAGGACGCAAGTCCAAACTTTGCGTACTTGGTATTAAGAAACAGTCTATATGTGGTTACACTAAACAGCAGTGAGTTTGGTAAGCTGATGACCTTCACGGCCAATCACAGTCATTTCTGTTGAGCACTTGAACCCAATGGCAAATTAGCGCTGTTTAAAAACTTGCTTAATAGTGCTCAAATGTTAGCGGGAAATGGACGTTTTTAAAATTTCTGTATCGATTTGTCCCAAATTCCAGTATTGTGACAGGCCTAGAACCCAGCATTTTTTACAGTGCAAAATAATATATAATATTAAAAGGATTTTTGGTCATTGTAGAAGTTAAAGTACCTTTATTTTTTCAGGTTATGTGAATATCCAACGGAATCTCATGGCAATTTGTAACCTTTTGATTAACTTGCTAATTTGTATGAATTCGTACGATCTAATTCGTACAATTTAGTATGATTTGCTCTTCAGCCAATGACGTATGTGGTTAGGGCCACACCTCTTTTTTTAAAATCGTACATTTTCTTTCGACTGAACTCGTACGATTTTGTACAAATTAGCCACTAAACTATCAAAACGTAAAATACTTAAGTTTCCTCGTGAGATCAGGATAGAAAATATTGATAATATATGATGATAAATGCTTTAAAAATTAAAATTGCAATAGAAAAATACTGTCATAATCCTACAGTAGTCATGACAGATACTCATCCAGCTGATTCTAAACTATTCAAACTTGCCTGATGCAACATATTTCTTGCGAACTCAGAAGAATATCCACTAAAAGCTGTCGCTTGATGTCCCAGCATAAAATAGGAGGTTTAGAGCAGATTAGTTCTTCCTCTAGAAGCGCCCGGTAATCCTGACGTCCCAAAGGGGGGGGGGCGAAAGATGATGGGTGGGGAACCAGTGGCAGGACGTAATCCTCTGGCAGGGGAGGTGCTGATAGTCACAGTCCCGCTACACCAAAGCCTGCTGTTATATGAACAATGAGGATGAAATGGATCTCACTGATCCATGAGATCTCTTAACTCCCTTTAGGAGACTGGGAAAGGTCATTTAACACCGATCCATTTATCAGCAAATCATACGGCATTCAGCTTGTGAAAACTAGGCCTTAGGGTTGGTTCCTGACTGCTGAACCCTCTTCGGTCACGTATTACTAGAGTTCGGTGATTCTGGGAGAAGGTGACGTTCATGGTTGACTTGGAAGTAAAGCGTTGCATGTGTACAGGCTATTATACTGTACATCGTTTGTGTACATAAAACGTTCCTTGTACGCAATCACTGATTCAAACCAAGGATTTCCAAGAAGGTTAAATCACTCTCCAAACATTATTGTATGGTTTACAGTTTCCAAGCAGGCTGTATACTGTATATTTACACATTAGCCCTACTGTGAGTTTCCCAGAGCTAACTCTTTGTTCCCAGAGTTTACCAGAGCAAAGACATTTTCACAGTATTTCCTATTTTTTTTTCTTTCAGAGAAAGTCTTATTTGTTTTATTTTGACTAGAATAAAAGCAGTTTTTAATTTTTTTTAATAACCATTTTTAGGTCAGTATTAGAAGCCCCATTAAGCCATATTTTTCCGATTATCTACAGAACAAACCATTGTTGTACAATGATTTGCCTAATTACCATTACTAGTTATACCTAATTAACCTAGTTAAGCATTTATACTGCACTTTAAGCTGAATACTAGTATAAAATATCTAGTAAAATATTATATACTGTCATCATAATTCAGGAAGGCTAATAATTCAACTATACATTTGAAGGGCTGAATTACATTGTAATTTGGCTCATTGCATGTTTTCTTCAAATTTGGATTTCTTAGGTTCACGTGGGTCGAGCGCACTTGGTGTGTCCCATCACAGAGTGCAGCGGTTTCTTGGAGGAGAACTTGGTGATTTCACACCTGACCAGTGAGGAACTTGCAAAATACAAGTACTTTTTGGAACTGAGCCAATTGGACTCCAGCACAAAACCGTGTCCTCAGTGCAGCCTGTTTACATCCTTGAGGGGTCGCAGCCAACAGTCGTCCACCAAGAGTGAACATAAGTATAAGGTCAGCTTTTTTCTTGTCTTTCATTCTTGTTCTAGTCGGAAAGGAATTTATTTTTGCAGAAAATGTTTTTTAATGCGGTCATATTCACTGTAAAATGTATCGTCACACTTTATTTTGATGGTCCGTTTGTTGAATTTAAGTTATATTGCATCTACATGCCAAATAGTTCTCATTAGATAATAAGTAGACTGTTAGGTTGGGGTTAGGGTTAGGGCAGAGGTGGTTAGAGTATCTAAAATCTATACTCTACACAAATATATATATATATATATATATATATATATATATATATATATATATATATATTAGAGCTGCACAGTTAATCGTTAAAAGATCGCTATCTTGATTCGACTCCCTAGACGATCTTAATGATAGACGCGCGCGCGTCTACTTTAGTGAACAGAACCTGAATATGTTGCGACTAACAGGTAATACAGTTGTAAATAATATTCAGTTTGTGGCACAGAGTGATCGTTTTTGAGCCGTGTGCGAAGTATGAACAAGCACTCAGCAGTCAAAATAAAACCGAAAGTGTGCACTTTATTTAAATGATCATATCACATTTTAGAGTTATGATTACGACAAGCATTTGATGTTTTTTCTTTCATAGCGAACCCACAGTTGTGCAGTTAAATAAATGTTTACAATCTCAGTTTAACCACTCTAGCCTATATATTGTTGAATATAATCTGATAATGGCAAATGTCTGATTTTACCAGTGAATACAATTGTCTAATATGACAGATTGCAAGCATATATCTCAAACATAATAATTATTCAATCCAACATAAGAATTATTTATAGAAACCAGTAGACCTACACATAATATTATTATCGAGGTTGTGCCCTATGTTTGTTTTTACCATACCTTTATTTTACATCTACAGAATCAAGAGAAAATCGTGATCTTTATTTTAAGCAAGAAAATCGCGATTCTCATTTTAGCCAGAATCGTGCAGCTCTAATATATATATAATAAAAAAATTTAATACAATATTTGGTGTTATTTTTGTACATTACTTATTGTAAACTAGTCTGTTTCACCAGAAACACCACAACTGTGTCTTTGTACAAAATAAAAGCATTTCAAAAAATTAAAGCCAACTACTTTTATGAAATTGTCAACAAACATGTATACATGTATGGTTATAGTTCACTTAAAAACAGTGGTGCATAAGTTAAAATTAATACAAATCAATAATCAGATGCAAAAATAATAACAATACCTGTCCTAATTGAAAAAAAAACAAGCTGAGTAAAAGATGTAATTTATTATTTGGTAAAAAATAATGCATACAAATTTATAAGCTATTATTGTCATTTCTGTCCAGCAACAAGTGCTATAGGATTTTCAGCACAACACTATTGCTAAAGGGATAGTTCACCCAAAACATAAACTTCTTAATGAGTCCAGTGAAATTAAAATAACGTTTTTAGATGTTTATATCAGTGTGTTAGTCTTTAAGGATATCTATAAGCTACACAAAACATTTAAGCTATAATAAACATGTAAAGTTTGTATTTTGTCCCTTCCACATAAATGAATCAACATTTTTTTTTTCACCTTGTCACCTCATACTTCAGTTTCTCATCAAATCTTGACCAATCAGATGGACCAAATCAAGTTAAGATTTATGTCAAACATCGAATAAAACATGCACATTTCAAAACACTTCACAGGAACTTTAAGATATTTTGAAGAAAGCTGGAAACATTTTGACTTATTTTTTTTAACAAAAAATAAAGAAACGCATGAAGGTATAGAACCAGTCGAGTTTAAGTAAATAGTGAGTACATTTTAATTTTTGGGTTAACTGTCCCTTTAAATACAGAACTATTTGTCTGAATCAATCTTAATCTTTTTTTGTTAATTCTATTAATAATTCAGTGTTAATATTCCCCTACAGATTCAGTGCACCAAGTGCCAGTTTGTCTGGTGTTTTAAATGCCACTCGCCCTGGCATGAAGGCCTGAAGTGTCGGGACTACAGGAAAGGAGACAAACTGTTGCGCCACTGGGCCAGTGTCATCGAACGTGGCCAGAGGAACGCTCAGAAATGCCCACGCTGCAAGGTAATAAACAATGTACTGTACACCTTAGAAATGTGTATGCAGAGTTTAATGTTTTGAAGACGCCAATGTTTACATTGCCAAAGTTGATCATTTGGTATGGATTTGAGGCATGGATTTCACAAGCATAAGTACGATGTCCTTCAAGAATCATGTTTATTATAAAAGTAATTATTTTAAATCCATTTTTATCACTTTACTGTTGCTTTTTTTAAAGTGTTAATTTCTCATAATATAATATAATATAATATAATATAATATAATATAATATAATATAATATAATATAATATAATATAATAATATAATATAATACAACATAATATAATATAATATAATATGATATAATATAATATAAAATAATATAATATATATAGATATATATATATGTTGTATATAACATATATATTTATTGTATGTATATATATTTATACAACAGCTCTATATATATATATATATATATATGTTTTTTTTTTATTCTAAAGTTTATGAAGTATATAAATCAACAATATGATTGACATTTGTATGGTTTATGATTCTTACATTATTAGATTTTTAAAAATTTACTAGAACTTATAAAAGTCATGCTAAGGCCTTACAGGCACAGTGGTATAACAAGCCTGTTTGATTGTGAACTTTAGAGAGAGGCTGGATTGTTGGTAAGTAAGAAGCTTTGCTAAAATGGAAAGTGTGTAAAATGCTAGAGAAAACCTGGCCGATTTAAAACGCAAAGGAGTTACCTAGCTCACACAAACAGAGACAATGTAAAAACTGAATGTTCCCATCAGAAGATTGCACTAATAGTGTGTTTTTCTTTTCACTTCCTCCTGTCTTTCTGTAATTATGCTCTTGAAAATCATGGCATTCCAGCAAGTCATAAGACTGGGGTTTGGGCAAGGCAGTCCTGTATTGAAATTTATCTGGGACCAGTTTTTTTATCCACTGACACATTTTTAAGAGATCAACATTTTTTAAAAGGCGTTGCTGTTTTCTATCCGGACATGTGCGTTCATGGAGGACACCTCATAACTTGAGTGTCTGACATAGTGCACATACCTGAGCCAGACACCTGAGGGCTTAGTTACAGTAAGATCTTCACACTGAAGAGCTTCTCTCAGTCATTGAGTCTTTCAAGCTGTAACATTGAATACTGCATTATTGGTTGAAATAACTATAATGTCACTGTTGAGCTGCACAATATATAGTTTCAGCATCAATATAATTATATTATTGCAACAATGTGAAACAAGTTCACAGCTGTCAAACAAGCTTAAAAATGCTGATGTTCAGACAGCAGTTTGTGACTGAAAAGGTCACATCTCTAATTTAGTCATAGTAGCAGCGTCTCAATTTTCTTTTTCGAAATAGAGACATCTAGTGACATTGTATATATATCGCAATATATAGGCCATGGGTCTCAAACTCGATTCCTGGAGGGCCGCAGCACTCCTTTGTTTATGTAAAGCTACCCAATACATCCAAATCACATCCAATCACCAACAACACATCTAAGCTATGTTGAAAAAAAGGTACGTATACAACTAAGGTCTGCTTGTTTTGACACATTATTAAAAATATGTGGCCAGGAAATAACTTTTTTTTTGCTAGGCCATTAAAGCAATACTATATAAGTCTGAAATGTCATTCTTCCTGGTCTTAAAAAGTCTACAATTTGACTTGATGAAACCTTGACATGAAACAGTTTACAGAAATCCGATATGTATCCGATCAGAAAAAAAACAAATGAAGTGACTAATTGAACAAGTCAGTTGTTGGCTGATATTCAAGCAAATGTAGCTTTCAGTTGTGAAATTGTTCTGTAATTGAAATTAGTGCTTTTTTCTTCTTTATATACCAACAGATCCACATTCAGAGAACGGAGGGCTGTGATCACATGACATGCACACAATGCAGCACTAACTTTTGTTACCGTTGTGGGGAGAAGTACAGACATCTGCGCTTCTTCGGGGACCACACTTCCAACCTGAGTGTGTTTGGATGCAAATACCGCTACCTGCCAGAGAAACCGCACCTACGACGGCTGGTCCGAGGCTCCGTCTGCAGTAAGTGGACATTCAGACATTCAGCAAAACGCTGAACTTGATTCATACATAGTCAAGCCCGAAATTATTCATCCCCCTGGCAAATTCTGACTTAAAGATACTTTTCGTCAACCATCAAGTTTTTTTTTTTTTTTTTTAACCGGAAATGACACCGCCTTCTCCGATAATTAATTTAATCCCATAGTATAAGACAATGTACAAGGGGCATCATTATGGGAAGAAAATATTTCCCAGCTTTTATTTACATTTAAAAACACTTTAAGTCAGATTTTGCCAGGGGTATGAATATTACATTTTGGACTTGACTGTATATACAATTGAAAGCAAAAGACAAAAAACAGAACTTAAACAGAATATTTGAAAACTAATAAAAAAAATCACAGGGCTGATCATTTTGCCTTCAACATATGTTCATTTGGAATATTAATAGTTAGATAATAAACATAACTTGAGCTAGACTCAGCCGTCTTGAATGTTTTGCTCCAACTACAGTACAATAGTGTGCTTTAGTTGCTCTCTGTAATTTACAGGAGTTTTATTGTACTGTGAATAGCAGCCTTTGCTACTGCATATTGTTTATTCCATCATGGCATTTTCTCCTTGAACCCATTTGAGAATGCTAAGTCTTAAGGGGGATGCACACCAGATGCGCCGCTCCGAGCTTGCTGCTCGCAGCGCCATGCATTTTAGAGTTCTAAACATAGGTTTCTATTAGGGTACGCACATCGGCGCTGCAAGTCGGCAGCTGTTAGCGGCGCCCAGTTACTTTGTGAAGTTTATTTTATAAACACATTTCGAGAGGATCATGTGCTTATGATTGTTCTTAGCTGTTCCAGCATCAGCTCATGATTGATTATCCAATCAGATGATTCCTAACTCACTATAAATAACCAGAGTTTTCTTATCTCAATATCTTCAAGTTGAAGACGCCCCCACTCAACTTTTCCTCCTTTTCCAACGGGGGACACGGTGGCCCAGTGATTAGCACTGTTGCCTCACAGCAAGAATGCCTCTGGTTCAAGTCCCTACTAAACCAGACGACATTTCTGTGCAGAGTTTTGCTTGTTCTCCCTGTGCACGCTTGGGTTTTCCCCGGGTTCTCCGTTTTTATCCCGCAGTCCAAATATCATGCACCTTAAGTAAATTGAACACACAAAAATTATACCATAGTCAAGCTCTCAGCGAGTACACAGCTCCTCAGTCATCCTTAACCATCACTTAGCTACAAATAGGCCGGGGGGAGTCATCGAGATCTACCTGAGCTCAAACTCCCCTCTCACCCTGCAAACGGGAGGGTGCCCAGGGCTCGAGGATCTCATAAGCTCAGGGCTCTCTCCTGGGACAGCATGCCAAACAAGCTTTATAATCAATCATCAGCTTAGTGTGAACTCTTGAAACTCTCCATATGTTGTTTTAGAAACAACTTCCTAACAATGAAGACAGAGTTAAAGGAAAATAAGTTCACCAAAAATGACTCTGAAATTTACTCACTCTCAAGCCATCTTTTTTTTTTTTTATTTGACTTTCCTTTGTCAGACAAACACAGTCAGAGTAGTTTTAAATGCCATCCTGGCTCTTCCATGCTTTATAATGGCCCTTTTTTTGAAGCTCTTAAAAGTTTATAAATCCATCGTAAAACTAACCACACACCGCCAGGGGGTTAACGCATGTCTTATGAAGCAGATCAGTGTGCTTTTGTAACATAGATATTTCAAATTTTTAAATTATAAGCTTAAATCACTGATTCTAGGTGGCTGACAAATGCATGTATGATGAGGCATTATGGCATAGATGTGTCTCACACAATTTGTTTACCACAGAAGACAACAACAAGCAAGAAATCTGGTTGGATTGGTGTTGCTGTATAACATTATATCTTACAGTTTATTAATCTTACTCTCACTCTTCCACTACAAATGCATCTCATGTTATATGTCAAGATAGAGATCAGCCAAGAAGTTTGCACGTGTGGCAGCCACCAGAAGGCAGTTATTTGAGTTTTAAAGAATTAAGAAATGTAAAATATTTGTTACAAGAACTCATTAATCCACTTCATAAGACATGCGTTAAGCCCCTGGTGGCATATGGGCTTGTTTTATGTTGGATTTATGCACTTTTGGAAGCTTCTAAAAAGGTCACTATCCAACACCATTATACAGCATCGAAGAGCTGGAGTAAAATTTACTGCTTAAAATAACCTTGTTTATCTTACAGAAGTCATTTACACTCACCGGCTCTTTATAAGGTATAGCTGTCCAACTGCTCTTTAACACAAATTTCTAATCAGCCAATCGCATGACATGACCGCAGTAGACATGGTCAAGATGATTTGCTGCAGTTCAAACGAAGCATCAGAATGGGGAAAAAAAGGTGATTTAAGACGCTTTGAACGTGGCATGGTTGTTGGTGGCAGACAGGCTGATCTGAGTATTTCTGAAACTGCTGATCTACTGGGATTTTCACACACAACCATCTCTAGGGTTTACATGGAATGGTCTGAAAAAGAGAAAATATCCAGTGAGGGGCATTTCTGTGGGTGCAAATGCCTTGTTGATGCCAGAGGAAAATGGCCAGACTGATTCCAGCTGATAAAAAGGCAACAGTAACTCAAATAACCAGTCGTTATAACCGAGGTATGCAGAAGAGCTTCTCTGAACGCACAACACATCCAACCTTGAAGTAGATGGGCTACAGCAGCAGAAGACCACACCCGGTGCCACTCCTGTCAGGAAGTACAGAAAATTGAGGCTACAATTCGCACAGGCTCACCAAAATTGGACAATAGAAGAAAAACGTTGCCTGTTCTGATCAGTCTCGATTTCTGCTGCGACATTCGGATTGTGGGGTCAGAATTTGCCATCAACAACATGAAGACTTGTTTTTTTAACATGACAATGAGTTCACTGTACTCAAACAGCCTCCACACTCACCAGGTCTCAATCCAGTAGAGCACCTTTGGGTTGTGGGGGAACGAGAGATTCACATCATGGATGTGCAGCCAACAAATCTGCAGCAACTGCGTAATGCTATCATGTCTGTATGACCAAGATCTCAGAGCAATATTTCCAGTACCTTGTTGAATCTATGCAACAAAGGATTAAGGGAATTCTGAAGGCTAGAGAGTGTCCAACACAGTACTGGTAAGCTGTACCTAATAAAGTGGCCAGTGAGTGTATACTGAGATTGGCTTGAAATCATAGGGTAATTTTCGTTTTTGGGTGAACTAATCCTTTAAATCTTAAAATTGCCACTTATTATTTAAAGGAAAGTTTGATTTCACTGATCATTTTCAGTCAAACATTGCCAAAAGCAGTAATTGTTTTTTTTAAAGAGAGTTAGTTCAAACATTAAACATCAATGAGTTTAATTTGGACTGTTTTATAAAGTACTTGTGCTGTTCTTTAGATAGAATCAGAAATCATTAGTTATAGTAACTAGTTATAGTAATAGCTAGTTTAACTACACATCTAAAAGCATGGGGGCGCTAAGATTTAGTTTTTAAAGCAGTGTTTTTAATTTACTTCTCTTCTACTGTTTTGTCACATTTCAATTTTTCTTCCTATTCTTACGCATTCATCCCAGTCATGTGTGATTAAACCAAATAGCCATGATTGGATGATACATCAATTATTATGAAAGACTTTAATCATTGTTATATTAAACCACTAGAGTCAACTCAATAGAATTCTGCTTTATTTAGTAAACTTGACTCATCAATGTGGATCGCAAGCTCATCACTAAAAATTTATTATGATATATTTTTATCACTGTACAATCTCTACACTCCCAGGGACAAAATACGAGTTCGCTTTTACGTTCAGGATTTATAGCTAAAACAAAATGTCCTGACAGAACTAGAGCAGCTGAAAAGAATAGTTTACACAGTTCCAGACCGGGCTAGTTTACAACCTCCTGATAGTGGCTCTATGATCTGCTTTTAGTTTGCATATGTCATTGTGTATACTTTACATGAGCCGGTGATTGTGTGTGCTGTCCCCAGGCCAGTGCATTCAACCATAGTATGAAACTCCATCATTCATACATCACAGACAGCAGTGTTTGGTCAACAGGTCACAGAGTTCAGTTTAAACAACTCTCCGAGGAAGACCGATGCACTCCATCCATTTCTCTTTAGTCAAGCAGTAGATAAGAGTTGTAAATGTGTTTGTTTTTGTGCGTCTGAATGCATTTTTTTTTCTTTTGTGTTTGACAGTGAGTAAAATGCTGGTGGCTCCCGTGGTCATTGTCCTGGTGGTGGTTGTCGGAGCTCTGGCTTTGGTCGTAGGTAAGGATTCTGTAACACTTATAAATCTCACAAATGATCAGATGACAATTGTTAAAAAAAATTCTTAAATCTGCCTTGTGATATCAACACTTCTGCTATTTTTAACCCTTATCAAACTCTTGGTAGATTCACATTGTGCTCAATTATTATCCTCATGTTAAATGTGACTTCACGCAAAGTGGCTTCCGGGTCCAAGTGCTATGTCAAACTGCATGAGCAGGCTCCACAAATGGTAATAATAAACATGTACAAATCGGTGTAATACTTTCTACAATTTTTTTAATACAAATCACGATTGCAATATATACAGTGTATATATATATATATATATATATATATAAATACACTCACTGGCCACTTTATTAGGTACACCTTACTAGTACCCCCATTTACCTTTAGAACTGCCTTAAATCCTTAGTGGAATAGATTTAACAAGGTACTGGAAATATTCCTCAGAAATATTCCTGGTCCATATTGACATGATAGCATCACACAGTTGCTGCAGATTTGTCAGCTGCACATCCATGATGTGAATCTCCTCTTCCACCACATCCCAAAGGTGCTCTATTGGAATGAGATCTGGTGACTGTGGAGGCCATTTGACTACAGTGAACTCATTGTCACGTTCAAGAAACCTGTCTGAGTTTATTCGTGATTTATGATATAGTTTGTTATCCTGCTCCAGCCATCAGAAGATGGGTAAACTGTGGTCATAAAGTAATGAACATGGTCAGCGACAATACTTGGGTTAATTAGTACTAATGGGTTCAAAGTGTGCCAAGAAAATATCCCTCACACCATTACACCACCACCACCAGCCTGAACCATTGATACAAGGCAGGATGGAGCCATGCTTTCGTGTTGTTGACATCAAATTCTGACCCTACCATGCGAATGTCGCAGCAAAAATCGACACTCATCAGACCAGGCAACGTTTTTCTAAACCTCTATTGTCCAATTTTGGTGAGCCTGTGCAAATTGTAGCCTTAGTTTCCTGTTCTTAGCTGACAGAAGTGGCACCCGGTGTGGTCTTCTGCTGCTGTAGCCCATCCGCCTCAAGGTTGGACGTGTTGTGTGTTCAGAGATGCTGTTCTGCATACCTTGGTTGTAACGAGTGGTTATTTAAAGTCTCTGTTGCCTTGTAAACCCTGGAGATGTGCGTGAAAATCCCAGTAGATCAGCAGTTTCTGAAATACTCAAACCAGCCTGTCTGGCACCAACAGCCATGCCACGTTTAAATCACCTTTCTTTCTGCAGCAGATCATCTTGACCATGTCTCATGGTCTCTAAATGCATTGAGTTGCTGCCATGTGATTGGCTGATTAGAAATTTGCGTTATCGAACAGTTGGACAGGTCTATGTCCATATCCATGCTTAATATCTGATGGCCAGAAAGTGATTATTCTTTTTTTATAAATTGTTAAAATATTGATGTCTGTAATGCAGCAAGTCCAGAGACTATTGTGTACACCATGATTTTATGTAAAATTCACTTTAATGTGTGATATGACTAAAAAGGGGTCATAAACGAATATTTTCTCAATTCAAATGAGTAGCAGGTTTGATGCGTAAACAGTATTCCATGCGTCCCCACTTAACAAACAGATAGTGACAACAGCCAATTAGATTTGGTACACTTGCTTTTGACAGCTAGTAAATGATTAAGAGTTTGCACTTACACACTGATCCAAATTTCTATGCTGGGTTCCACACTATTCCTATTGCTATCCCTAAATCTCCCATATCCTCTATTCACTGTCTTGACACAACAAAAATCGATTAACATTATCGTTTTTAAAAATTTAAGTGGATTGAACATAAAAAAATTAAGTTGTCCCCCCACAAAACTTAATAATTGTGTTGATTCAACTCATTTTAAATAAGTAGTTTAAATAAGCAACTATATTTTTTGAGTGTGCGTTTCAGTGGCCAAAATGGATTTAAAAGCTATTTTTGGATTGATCTCCTTTGTATACTTAGAGATGTGGATTGTTGGAATATCAAGCCAATTCCATGCGTGTTCAATAAGAAAAGGTCTGGAGAGGGTTTTCTTCAATGCCAAAAATATTAGTAATTTATTAGATACAAATGAATAATTCGATGACAGAGCTCTGGGTTACGTTACCCCAATGCAATACAAGAATTACATTCAGGAGGTGCACAACAAACATACATTTCCTGACCCCAGCCTATATACACAACTGATATTAACAGGTGGAGTTTAATGAAATTCATCATTTGTCATTCATTGTTCAGTCCACTTGGCTGCACCTTAGACATACTTCCACTTTTTCTACGAATTCTCTGCACAACAAAAAAAAAAGCATACAAGTCTCTGTGCTCTGTGTTCAGTTTTAACACCTCTCTTCAGACAGGACGTTTCTGCAGAGCTGAATTTAATTTTGGACCCTCATCTATCTACTTCTGCAAAAATGCTAATTAGTATGCACAGCACTCACACACAACAGTAGAAGTTCAGTTAATATATGACCCTTACATGACCAATACAAATAATTGTTTGATTAAAAGAAAAAGAGACAAAAATAATAAAAAAAAAAGATTCCTATTTTCCAACAGGATTCAGATGAAAGTTAAACCACAACATAATCCTGGTGTTTGTCAAAAAACTGTAGGTGATTTGGCTGGTAATTTTGATGTAGGTCTTGAGAGAAAAACACAAACATTCTTGATTCAGATGGCTATAAATCATCAAATGGCGATAAATAGTGAAAATCTCTTACGTTCACTTGATAAACAATTACTGCCTGAACAGAAAGTGCAGAAAATATGTATACCAAATAATTTAGATTTGTTTCAGGCCTCTTTGACAAATTCTGCTTCATATTTAGACATCTTTAATTATTACTTTTTCCTCTGTCCAGGTAATCCTATACCCACTCTATAATATTCAGGTCTGGATCCCGTGGAGTCCAGTTCATTACTGTCAATACTTTATCGGCTGCTTTTCCTCCAGCTATAATTTCCATTTTCAGATGAAGAATGATATTACAACTATTATAAACCATTGATAGAAAAACAAAAACAAATCTAAGACTTTTGCAATGTACTGTACATTTTTAATGGAATTTGAATATTTCACAATCCTTTCATGAATCTTTTTGGAACCGTTAAAATTTGTATTGTTCAATAAATGTATGTTGCATTCATACAGTATTTGCCTACTTTTCTCAGAAGTACTTTTCTGTTTTCCATACAGTGAGAGCTATAGAAAAGTATTGTTAACCGTGTTTGCATGTTTATTTGCCTGTGTTTTTAAAATTAAATAAGTAAAAAAAAATTTTTTATCTCACAAGTGTAAAAAGACATCTTACAGTAATCAGTGTTTTTTGGTGTGAAGTGCAAAATGTGAAAAACAGTCCAGAAAACTGACAATAATGTTTACATATATTTTGGTTCTAACTAAACTAAAACCCAAGTCAGACCACACGAATTTGTCTTGATTTTGACACGATTTTCTTGCTGTAGGGTGTTGTGGGGATTCGTAAACGACAAATGGGCATCATGACTCAAGATTCAACCGTTTCTTCTTGTGTAATGTGGCATAGTCCACGACAACCGATACCATGCCTGCGACACCTCACGACACCATCGCAGAAAGTCGAGCATGTTAAATTGTTTTTTTCTAGGCTGCGTATTTACTTAAGGGTGGGTGACGGGTGGATAAGATCAATCATTGGATATGTAAACTTTAACTACCTTTTCTAAAATATTAAGATGTATTAAGCAATTTTATCTAAGAGACAGGCAAAAATATGCAGACGTCTCCATTCTCACAACGAGTTTCTGAGTTCTCTCAGCCTTCCAACAGATTGTTCTTCTGAGGTAATCTGGGAACATGTTCAGTGCTGCAAATCCATTGCGAAGGCATTTCCTGTTCATTCAAATTTGTCAATAACAGTAAAAACAGTTCAATATAGACTTCTCTGAAACTGTGAATATTTCACTTAAACTTTATTTAGGATAGATTATTATTTTATTTAACAAACCAACACAATCTCACAGTGTTTAGGCGCATATAGCGGACTTGTTTTGAAATGTTATTCTGGTTTATAGATAACTGACCAACAAAAGATATATTAAAATTAAGATAAAAACTATAGCAAATGAAATTCGTTTCAAAAAGATATTTATTACAAGAAAAATATACTAATTGTAGTTTTGTTTGAACCCCTCCACTACTCAACTAAACGGGTGGATGATTTGTTTTGCTCTGAGGAAAATAAGGATTTAATAAATGCTTCACTGTGATTGTATCACAAATCTCAGTTATATATTTGTTAATTTTTTAATATGTCATTCTTTTAAATATTATGTCTTGAACATCTGATTTTTCAAGCTGCTGCTTATGTGCTTATGATTTTCTCGTCTCACTCATGACAAGGTCAGGCGAAGTATTTAATAAACCCATGGAAGGATATTTAGATTTCAAAGAAAATATCTTAATATTAAAAAGGAAAGCCATCAGTGTTTATTGAGACTAAAATAAGATTAAAAAATTTCATTTGAGATAAGAAATAATGTTATAGTAAGACATGTGACTGCTTTGGAAAATAATGCTTGTTGTAGACGTCATGGGATGACTGATCATGAAGGAACGTGAAGTCTGGCACATTGTTACCCACAACAACTCAAGATTTTATTAAGACAAAATTGCATAATTTAACATACTGTATTGACTTTCGTAACCGACAATAAAAATTGTGATCTGATTGGGGCTTAAGGCCCTCTCCTTGCTAAGTCTATGCCCTGTCTGCCAGGCCAGGATTATACACTGTATAATTTCTAAACATTTGTTAGAATACAGTTATAGTCAGAATTAGGGGGGCTCCCTTTGAATTTTTTTTCTTTTTTAAATATTTACCAAATGATGTTTAACAGAGAAAGGACATTTTAACAGTATGTCTGATAATGTTTTTTTCTTCTGGAGAAAGTCTGTTTTATTTTGACTAGAATAAAAGCAGTTTTTAATAAAAATAAAAAAAAAAAAACATTTTAAAGTCAAAATTATTTGTCCCTTAAAGCTATATTTTTTTTGATAGTCTACAGATCATTGTTATAAAATAACTTGCCTAATTACCGTAACCTGCCTAGTTAACCTAATTAACCTAGTTAGGCCTTTAAATCTCACTTCAAGCTGTATAGAAGTGTCTTAAAAAATATCTAGTAAAATATTATTTACTGTCATCATGAAAGATAAAATAAATCAGTTATTAGAAATGAGTTATTAAAACTATTATGATTAGAAATGTGTTGAAAAAAATCTTCCTCAGTTAAACAGAAATTGGAGGAAAAATAAACGGGGCTAATAATTCAGTGGGTTTAATAATTCTGACTTCAACTGTGTTTTTGTTGTGCCAAATAAATTTTTATATCCTATATTTATTCAATTTTTATGGTATGTAAACTATGATTACAGATTTAGATTTTCACTGTTGAACTAAGCTTTTCTATGTTGTGACTGATCTCTCCGCAGGCCTGTTTGCTCTTCCTATCTACTACATCTGTAAGAGGAGGAGGAAGCGCTCGCAGGGCTCAGGCCGCTGGCTGTGCTGATTCAGGACCAGGACATACAAACACAAACACACACACACACACCCAAAAATAACCCCGGGTGCCAAGTGACCACTCACATACAACAATGACAGGGGCAGCTTTCCTGTTCGCTGCATCTCTTCAATATCCTCCATTTGCACAGTGACCCGTCTTTGGCATTGGGATCAAAGACTAATTTGAGGAGATTCTATTTCGGAATGTTTTATTTATAACCCCAAAACTGATTTGGATTCAGTTTAGTTTTAGGAATGGAACTCTGCTAGTGTTCTGCAGCGAACACACACACACACACACACACACACACACACACACACACACACAGCGGGAATAATTGTGTCCTTCAATCTATTTGTGACGTGCATCAGATGTTCTAATCTGTAAGCGTTTAGTGCTTGATGATGGTGAGTAGATGAATTATTGTCTGTCCTGCTTTATCCCCTCTCAATCCCTCCCTGCCCTTCATGCTGTGCCAACATCCGCAGGAATTTGCATGATCGACAAAACACGTTTCTGTCTACTGCACTGTGGAGACAAAAGGTCCAGAATGACACTGGACCCCGCAGCTTCACGCCAAGACATACAGGTCATCTGGGTCATGCAAATCACCACTGTGTCATTCAGAAAGTGTTAAGGCTCTGTGTTTTGCACAAATCTACAGCTGGAAACCAAACACTAAACACACTGTGAGGTCGGAGTCTGAGACTGTTCTTGAAAATGCTAGATTGTTCTAGAATGCTAGTTATTTTAGAAATATTTTTGAAATGCATGGTTAAATTGGCTTAATTTAATTGTTATGCTGATAAATAACTTAGGATTTTTACATTTTTTTAATAATATAATATTATATGATGATAAATATTTGTAAAAAAAAATGTATAATGTAATTTTCTTATAATTAGCTATATTTAAATATACATAAACATATATATTTAGGGATTTACATAAGATTTCTTTCTATATATGTATAAAATAAATGCATTTATTATTGTTTTAGTTAGTTATTATATATTAGATTTATTGTTTAGTATTTGTCTATATTATATATATACATACACACACTATTATGTGTCTGTGTGTGTCCATACACACATTTTATTTTTAATTTGTTCAGCTGGGATAATAAGTATTGAACACGTCACCATTTTTCTCAGAAAACATATTTCTAAAGGTGCTGTTGACTTAAAGTTTTCCCCGGATGTTGGTAACAACCAAAGAAATCCATATATGGAAAGAAAATTAAACTAATTAGATTACAAATGCCGTAATGTGTAATAAAATAAAATGATGCAGGGAAAAAATTTTGAACACATGAAAAAAGGGAGGTTTAGAAAGGCAGTGAAAGCCCAGACAGCAGCTGAAGTCTCTCAGTAGTTCTTCAGCAACCCTCTGCCCTTTCTCATTGTAAACATCTACATTACCAGGATGATGAAGATGAAACCAGGGTGAACATTTCAGCAAGACAATAATACAAAACACAGTCAAGGAAACTCTCAAATGATTTCAGAGAAAGAAAATCAAGCTGTAGAATGGCCAAGCCAATTACCTGACTTGAATCTAATAAAGAATACAAAATAAAGATCAGATTTGATCAACAAAACCTACAGAACCATCAAGATTTTGTTTTATGTCAACAGCTTCTTTCAAAATATTATTCCTAGGATAAAACATGTTCAATACTTATTTTCTCCACTGTATATAATATGAACTAAATTTAAAAATTTGTAATGTTAGGAAACAGTCAAAAATGTCAATTATATTCTCAGTATAACAATTAAAATTGTGCCTAAAGTGAAACTTTTACTTGAATTTTACAAATAATTTGGTAGTCTGGTGCAGTAATCAACATGAATTCAAAATTCAATGTGTTTCCTTTCATAAAGCACATTTAATGTCTGTGAGCAATTCATCTCTTATTCCCTAGGAATTGTTTTAATGAATATGACAGTGATGTTAAACATCCTGAAAAAATCTGACCATCTGTTGGCGTTCACATGATTAATAGAGAAATTTGCTTAAAATATTTCTATGTAATCCTGGTTTTTAATCCCAGATTTTCAGTGTGGTCTCAGACTTTTAAACATCACATCAAAACCTAGTGCATGCCTTACACCTTGAACAAACTCTTAGATGCATAACAGCATAGTCTACTTGAGTGTATATGATTCTTAGACATTTAAAGTCCGTAATATCGACTTTTTAACATTAATTTCTAGCATATATTTGCTTTTGCACAGCAAAATGTAGCCACTGAGCGACACAAGACTATTTGGCACCCCTGCTGTATATTGCACAGTGTTATAGATTCATATCCACTGTAATCCATTGCCATGTGTTGGGTTTTGTTCAGCCCCATGCAGAATACTGTAGCATGCCAACAAATATATATAACCATTAGACACATTATATTCACTCCACTAGGGTACAATGCAATGAAATTTAAACAAAAGGCAACCCCTGAAGCCTCACGTCTAACGTTTGTCCCGTGGTTTGATTTGCGCCGGCTATTTAATACCCAAACAAAGCCTGGTCTGGAGGAAAGCCAGAAAGTGTAGGGAAAGGCATTGTAGGAAAAGGTTAGCAAGCGTTGTCTGGCTGGAGTTTCACACTCTAAAAAATGCTGGTAATGTTTTAGCCCTTATTAGGGTAAAATATGGACCTACTCAACAATTGGGTTTAACATTTATTTTAAAGGTGACATTAAATGGAAAATCGGACTTTTTTGCTATTTAAGTGCAATAACCGTCTCTCTAGTGCAACGGTCAACATCCCCCCCAAAAAATGATTAAAGGTGCAATCCAGTCGTTTTGTTTTTGTAATTTTTTGCAATGTTACATTTTGGTCCCCTTATAAGGAGCCAGATCAATCTTAAAAATAATACATTTACAAAATAAAATTCATGCCCAATTCACAATTCATAAAAATGTATTCATAAATTCAAAACACAATTCATAAATGCACTAATCCAATTAGTAAATTCGAAACAATTCATAAGTACGCAAATCCAATTTATAAATTGAAAATACAATTTGTTATTTTATAAATGTGCAAATCCAATTCATAAATTCAAAACACAATTCATAAATGCGCAAATCTAATTCATAAACTCAGAACACAATTCATAAACGCAAGTACAATTAGTAAATTTGAAATACGATTTATAAATATGCAAAACACAATTAGTAAATTCAAAACACAATTCATAAACACGCAAATCCAATTCGTAAATTCGAAACACAATTCATAAATGTGCAAAACACAATTCGTAAATTCAAAACACAGTTCATAAATATGCAAATCTGATTTGTAAATTCAAAACACAATTCATAAATAAGCAAATCCAAATCGTAAATTCAAAACAAAATTTGTAAATTCAGAACACAATTTATAAATATGCAAAACAATTTGTAAATTCGTTTTAATACTTCAAAAATGGGCAAATCCTATTTGTAATTTTATAAATGTGCAAATCCAATTCGTAAATTCTAAACACAATTAATAAATATGCAAAACACAATTCATAATTCAAAACACAATTCATAAATATGTAATACACAATTTGTAAATTCAAAACAATTCATAAATGCGCAAAACGCAATTCATAAATTTAAAACACAATTCATGAAATACAAAAATCCAATTAATAAATTTAAACACATTGCGTAAATTCAAAACACAATTTGTAAATTCAAAATGTAATTTAGATATGCACACATCCAATCCATAAGGGGAAATATTTATGATTTTTAAAAATCATATTGAAATTGGTGAAAATGATCTGAACGGGGCTTACGTTTTCTGTAAAGATGAGAATTGTGCTTATCTTTACATCAGAACAGAGCAGGTGATGAGTTTTATACGTTACTCCACACGTAAATGTGTCCCCTAACCATTTACACAAATCTTCCTACAGTCTGGAAGTTGTAACCTCATCCTCTCCAACATTGTCTGACTGTGGTTTAAACCAACACAATCTCACGGCAATTCGTAGCTCGTAATTCGTGATTCAGTGGCATTCGCACAATTTGGTTAGGTTTAGGGGTGGAGTTGGAATGGGTGCCACGTCTCCTTTTTAAAATCATACATTTTCGTACGACTGAACTTGTATGAATTTTTACTAATTAGCCACTAAACTGACAAAATGTAAAATACTTGCATTTCCTCGTGAGATCAGCCTGGTTTAAACATAATGCTTTAATCTGTTACTAGTTGTTTGTTAAAATTCTGCTGCATAAGATTTATTTGTTTATTTATTTATGCAGTGTCAGAATAGCGTGAAGGCTCCGCCCACTTCTTGAAAGCACCAGCTCATTTGCATTTAAAGCGAAACGAACAAAAACAACATGCTTTTGCTCACACCTAAATAGGAGAAAGTTTGACAAGCTATAATGATGTATGTGTAGGGTATTTTCAGCTGAAGTTTCACAAATACATTTTGGGGACACCAAATATGTATTTTCAATACAATCTCATGGAAATTCGTAACTTTTTTGCTTTTATTTAGTGGCTAATTCGTATAAATTCGTACAATCTAATTCGTACAATTTAGTACGATTTGCTCATCACCCAATGACGGTTAAGTTTAGGGGCAGGGTTGGGTGCCACCACGCCTCCTTTTTAAAATCGTACATTTTCGTAAAACCAATTTCATACAAATTAACCACTAAACTGACAAAATGTTACAAATTTTGCGTTTCCTCGCGAGATCAGGCTGGTTTAAACATATAAGGCTTTATTCTGTTACTAGCTGTTTGTTACAATACTGCTGCATGAGATTCACTTTTTTATTCATTTATGCAGTGTCAATTAGTGCGAAGGCTCCGCCCACTTTTGGAAAGCACCAGCTCATTTGCATTTAAAGGGACACAAACAAAAACAACATGCTTTTGCTTAAAGCTAAATAGGGGAACGTTTGACAAGTTATAATGATTGATTTGTATGGGTATTCTAAGTTGAAATGTCACATTCTGGGGACACCAGAGATGTATTTTACATACTATGAG